TTTGTTTCTTCTCTTCAGTCGATCTGGGAGATCAGGCTTCCCTTCAGCTTGGCGTCCAGCTCGCCTATCTCTGCCTTGAGTACGGCTACGCCCTTCTCGAACCAACTTACACTTGCCGCACCACCCTCTTCGTTCAGTTGCGCCATCCAGAGGAACTTTTCCGCGCCATCGCTTGTGCCTTGTGGGTCAATCGCTATGGCTGCTTCGAAGGCTTCGCGTGCGCTCTCTGGGTCGCCCAGTTCGACGTTGATCTCGCCGAGAAGGTTGAGTGCGGGTAAGGCTGCGGCAGACGGGGTCGATGACGGTTGCAGTAGGTTGAGCGCTCGTTTCGCTGCGACGAGGGCTTCTTCAGGCTGTGAGGTCTGTAGTAAAGTTGCGGCCTGTATGAGTAACTCTTCTGGCGATGCCTTCGGTTTCGATGATGTGCCATTCTTCCCGCTCTTCTTCGACTTCTTGTCTTGAGGCTTTGTCTTTGCCATGTCTGATGTTCGTTCGAGTATGCGACCCGAAGTGCTATAGCTGGATTTGATTCTGGGTTGCTGTGTGTCTCGAACAAGGTCGTCCAAAAATTTCCCAGATCTCAAAATCTCGGTGGTCCGAGCACTGACGTGGGGCGCGTCCGCGACTTCCCCGCCAGAACCAGCAGCCTCAGCATCATAGCTTTAGTTTCAAAGCCCAGTAGTCGCAATGGGTATCGAAGATCAACAGGAAGAGAGAGAGGTCCTCGAATCTATCTTTCCTGCGGAGATCACAGGCAAGCACCTACCTATTCACTCATTACCGGCGACTGACAGAATCCAAAGATGTTTCCGAGACCGAGTTCCGAATAGCAATAAAGCTCGACGATGGCAGACATGAAGACGACGAGACCGAGGAGGAAGAACGTATGCGCGCAGGTCTTTTCCACAAATTCACAGCTCACCATGTATAGCGACAATCATCCTCAACGTCCAATATCCGCCAAACTACCCCGACGAAGCGCCCCGGCTCGACATAACACAACCGCCCAATGCGCCCAAGCACATCTACCTGGACATACAAGAAGACAAGTCCCGCCTCCTCTCATCCCTCACCGAAACCATCGAAGAAAATCTCGGCATGGCCATGGTCTTCACCCTCGTGACCGTATTGAAGGACAGCGCAGAGCTGCTCATCACCGAGCGCCAAAACGCCAAGCAGGCGTTGGCAGACATTGAGGCCGCAAAATTGGAGGAAGAGGAGAACAAGAAGTTCCAGGGCGAGGCGGTCACTCGGGAGAGCTTTTTGGCCTGGCGAGAAAGATTTTACGGGGAGCAGGAGGAGATGGAGAGGAGGGCAATAGAGGAGAAGGAGGCCGAGGACAAGAAGGCAAGGGTGAAGAAGGAGGAGAAGAAGATGACGGGCCGGGAACTTTGGGAGAAGGGTCTAGTTGGAAAAATGGATGATGATGATGAGGACGAGGAGGACGTGGTGGACATTGAGAAGCTAAAGATTGCTTCATGATGTGATGTGGAATGTATAGGATCGGATATACCCAATGCATGTGGATTTTTATAAATCTTGAGGTGGGTTATTGACTTCTCGGCTTGGGTGGTTTTATGACTTTGATCGGTCGCTTCTTGCGACCTCTTATGATGGTCTGTCCCTCCTCCAGCGCAAGCTTCGTCTCTAGATCCACAATCCTCTGCATCTTCCTGATATATGCCCTATCCTTGGCTAGGTCCTTTTCATATGCGGCCTGATTCTCTCTCTCGCTCATCTTGATCGCATCAACCCACTGCACCTTTTCCTCTTCAGCATCTAATTTTCTGCCAGCACGTGTGTTGACCAACGCGTCCCATTCATCTTCCTGCTGTGCCATCGGCAACCACCAATTGCCTAACGTGACCTTAACGTTGAAGAGGTTCATCTTGCTCGTAAGGCGCTGGCGTAGCATTCGGGAGAGCGCGGGCGGCTGGGGTTTCGTGAGGCGCAAGAAGGGGACGCCGTTTGCGGTCGCAATTATTGGGACACGGCGTGGGCCAGAGGTCTTTGCAAATGGGCGTACATTGAGAACAGCGCGTTCGGGTGGGAGACAGCTGAGTCTTTCTTTCGGTGGTGATATTGGTGCAGGGTACACTCTTGGTCGCGGTGTTCGAGTTATGCTCTTAGAGAGTTGAGGAACCAATTGCTTCAGGATATCCAAGCTCGCACTGTTGCCGTTGGATGATGCATCGAGGTGGTCGAGTGTCTAAGCCAATAAGTTGGTGCGCATGGAAGCAGTCTTGTGTTTTCAAGTACCTCGTATCCAGCCTTGTAGCTCAGTCCCAGTAAGTACGGGCTTTGCAAATTCCTGTTCCGGCGAAATTTGTTGCGGATGGCATTGCGCAGAGAGACGCGATCATCATCGGCCAGTGGTGCGGAGGAACATCGCGACAGCAGAGCTCTGTACAGGGCAATTGCTGCAGGACATTAGCGACTAGGAACCGCAACACACCTAAGATTCTCACCTGCTACACGATGTTGCGTGGAGTTTTTAGGTTGTAGAAAGCGGGGCATGCATGGGTCGTTCGTGGTGTTGCTGGAGTGCTCATTTGACGCGAAATATTTCGAGGTTATCGCATGATCACGTGTGTACTACACCCAGCTCCAGGTAAGACGTGCTCAAATCTGCTGGAGTGTTATGATCCTATGCGCCTGCTTGAAAGTATGTCTTCATGAACATAATATCGATATTAGAGCATATGCATGTAGCCGGAAAGGCTGTCGCATGTAGAGATGTTGTTTCATTCTTGCGTTTGTCTTGTACCTGACCTGGTGCCCTAGAACTCCAACCCTACGCTAATCATACGTGCCATAACATGCATATTCGTACTCACTCTTCTGAAGCTTATTGCACCCCCACGCTGCCTCTCTCGACTTGTTCTATCTGTCACGAACCAGCCTAGAACGTGGTACCTTCCGGCGGTTGCGGGAGCTTCTTGTTGTTGGGAAGTGCCATATACCTGCCATTATTAGTTCGTGAACCTTTGTCGTACATTGAGCATGCTTACCTTCGAAGCTCTATGAGTATGGTCTCCATGGTGAAGTCTCGCTTCCACTGGGCTAAGCACGGCAGCTTAGTCGCATCGACCTGTGCGTGTCAATGTTTGCCATATGCGCTCTCGTTGTGGTAAATACCTGTCCGTTCTGCGCATTTACGCACGGTAGGTTGATCTTGGATGTGAAGGATATCTCGGGGGGGACATCAGGGTAGCTTGGGCCGCAGTGGATCTTGACGCTGTAGATGCGGTTCTCGTGTACACTCTGAACATGATGTTAGCAAGTGCCTCACAGGGACGTTGACGGTCTGCATACGTGCGGTGGTCCGAGAATGGTGCCGTTCCAGTCTGACATGAGAAGATCATCTCCGTTGTCAAGACCATACGAGCATGCCTCTGTTCATGCTTAGTTCCGACGTGCAGCCATGATGGTTGTTCTTGTTGCCATACCAGCACCGAGACCCTTCTCGCCCTTCTCCAGCTCTTCGAGCAGACGGAAGTTTCGGGGGACTTTGGCGCCCATTATCGCAAAGGTGATGTAAGGGGTGAGGTGAGGTAGTGTGACGCGTGAGAGAGGTGGGCTGGACGTGAACCCCGCTATCGGATGGGCAGCAGTGCTGCTCGTTTACGTACGCGTTGTCGGAATCTATGGTTGACAATGGAGTCGGATATTGATTGCTCAGAAGCGCAGAAAGCAGTGAAGATGGCAGATTTCAATGCAAACATCTGAAAGCATGCGACGGCTAGTAGTACCGGTGGTGGGGAGCTCCCGCCCAGGTAGACGCGCTAACGCCGGGGCAAGGGTCTTGTAGCAACGTGACCATTACCTCCGATCAGCATAACAATACACTGCCGATTTTCTAAACTGCACAAGAGCTGGGACCCATGGAGTGTAATCTGATGATTAGGCTGGGCTCCCAACAATGACAGCACAGATACTAGCGGCTGAGTTGGGCAATCTAATTCAGGAATCGAAGCGCAAACACAGCGAGCTACGAAATGCGGCAGAAAAGTCACTACAGGATCTCAAGTCACTGCCGAATACCTCAGAAGCTCAGTTGGGAGCAGACATTTCAAGACGCCCGTATTTCGTCTCACCATTCCTTGTTGCCTGCAGCACTCACAATGCCAAACTTGCCGCAACGGGGATATCATGTCTCCAGAGACTGAGCGTCTCTCGAGCTCTACCGAAGGAGCGATTGAATGAAGTCCTTGATGCATTCAAGGAATCTGTTTCATCTAGCCACGATGTGCAATTGAAGATCCTCCAGGCCCTGCCTTCCTTGCTCCAGAACTATACTTCCGAGGTACGCGGCGACCTGTTGTCGACTGTTTTGCAGATATGTTCTGGCCTACAAAACGCGAAGAACCCTGCTGTTAGTAATACTGCAGCTGCGACGTTACAGCAGCTAGTGATCACTGTATTCGACAGAGTAGCAGCAGAAGATGGTTAGTTCAAGCTCCGGGTTTTACCAGCATATACTGATTATCGTTCTAGAGCGAGCACTAGAGGTCCCCATTGTAACCGAAGTGAAGGGTGACGATGGCCTTGTGCCAGTCAGGCCTGCGGCAAATGATGCTTACAAGGTAAACATTCATACATCTCGCATACGATAAATGATGGAACTAACTAAGTAGCTTTTCAACGATCTGGTCCTCCTGATAGTAGGCGAAAAGCCGCTGTATATGCGTCTCTCTCCTATTCCACCAGCATCCATACTGGAACTCATCGAAGCCATCATGTCAAATCATGGCACAATCATGACTGATCATATAGAGCAAGTACACATTGTACGAACTCTATTGATGCCTCTGATCATACGATCACTCTCGGATCGCCTTTCATTTCCCGTCACCGTACGCGTCGTGCGTATCTTGAACTTGGTTATCCGCAACCACTTGAACATCCTCCCTTCTGAGTGCGAGATAGCACTTGGGCTAATGAATCACATGCTTGATCCCGAGGCATCGCAACTCTGGAAAAGGGCTCTATGCTTGGAGTTCTTCCGTGGCATCTATGCCGATTCACGATTACTTCTGTCAATCTACAGCTTGTTCGATGCGACAGAGGGGAAAAAACCGATATTCGGGGATAATCTCGCGTCATTTGTTCGGCTTGCCGTCGAAAAGCCTACACTCATTGGACTCGGTCAGCAGTCTTCAGCACCTACGCAAATTGGTGAGACATCTGATCAGGCAGTGGCTGAAGCAGGCGCTATTGCTGGTGTGATTAGTGGTACCGCCACAGATAGTAACAGCAACGTGCGGCCACTCGGGATCAGCTCGCAATGGAGCTCTTTGAAGACTCCATGTATAGAGCATCTTGATAAAGCAGAGCCTCCAGCGCTGCCTGATACGTATGTTTACAGCCTAGTCCTTACATGCATCACCAATATTTCGGAGAGTCTCGCAAAGTTTGTCCTACCTTTGACTGTACATCACGAGGGCAAAAGTCGGAAGAAGAGGACCGAAGAACCAATCGAGTCTGATGTGAGGACCGCTTCTCCAGAATCGAGCATCCGACGCCTCTCACGAACACAGTCCTTCCGCAAAAAGACAGTACCAGTCAATCCTCTCGATCTTACGGACCACGCGGCCTATAATTACATACAAACATCATCGACGCTAGTAACAGAGTGTTGGCCTGCTGTTCTTGCGACGTGTTCTACGTTTTTGAACGCCGCGCTCGATACTGAGTACTACCGCGCGTTGGTCCGGGCCGTCCAGAAGTTTACACAGGTCTCTGGTCTCCTTAGACTGTCGACACCCCGAGATGCTTTCTTGACAACACTGGGTAAAGCAGCAGTACCTTCGAATTTGATGCTTACGAGCGTCGCATCTCCTAAACCGGTGACAGCCGAAAAGAACAGCATCTTTCAGAACGCGAAAGGTTTGCTCAGTGTTGACAGTCTGGCAAGCCAATCTTCGTCAGCCTCAGTTGAGAAGAATCGAACACCTTCGCATGACATCTCTGTACCCTCTTTAGGCGCACGTAATCTTCTCTGCCTCAGAGCATTGCTTAATTTGGCCATCGCGCTTGGCCCGACTTTACATTCAGCATGGTCCATTGTCTTTGAGACTCTACAGATTGCAGATTTGGTCATGTCACTTTCGAATCAAAATAGTCGCATGACGAGCGGAATTGCCAGTCGGACAGATCCTGAAGGTGCTGCGGACAAGATGGAGGCGGAGACCTCAGCCGTCCAAGCTGCTGCGCGACGTCTCTTTGAGAGCACGGTAGACTATCCCAACGAGTCGTTTATAGATCTACTGAAGGCTCTGTGCGCACTACTCAACCAGGGCTCTGTGTCCGACGATGATCAGAAAACTCCGACAACAAACAGCAGACCGCAAGTTTTACAACAACGACGACTAGGAAATGTTTCTGGCATTTCGTTGAACACCGACTCCAGTTCACGCGATTCCGCATTTGCGCTGAACAAGATAGGCGAGCTTGCTGCCTTGAACGAAGCTAGGCTGTCCCAATTTGATCCAGCAGAAAGTGGATGGGACATTTTTGTTACGCAGGTCGTTCGATTCTCAACAGATGGCCGCAACGCAACATCAACCAGGCTTCTTGCCGCGGACATCCTTTCACGAACTGTCAAGGAGATTGCAGAGTTCTCCATGTCCGATGAGCACCGCGAAGATATACAAGCCCGGATCTTGTCCGCATTGCAACGGCAAATTTCAGCCTTACATCCAGCTTTTGTGGACAGCGAGATGTCAAGTGACACTGATATTCGAGTGCACCAGATCACCCTTGAAGCGCTCAAGAATGTGATCGAGCAGTGCGGTGAATCACTCGTTGCTGGTTGGGGTGCTGTATTCGAGAGCTTGATGAGTGTGTTCTTGAACAGGCACACCGATGTGGCAGACATCAGTACAGACAATAGTGACCGAAATCGACACAGTGTGCAGGTCATTTCAAGATCTCTTGCTCGGTCAGCATTCGCGACGGTGCAGCTGGTCTGCTCCGACTTCATGTCCGCTGTACCTGATGCTTGCCTTGTAACACTTCTGGAACTCCTGTTCAGGTTCAGTCGCCAGCAAGAGGACTTAAATATGTCATTGACCGTAAGCTAGTATGCACACAACATTGACACAGGCTGACAGATGAACAGGCTATCACGTTCTGCTGGAATGTCTCAGACTTCTTGCAACCACGAAACGATCTTTCGACCCTTCCCGGAATACTTGGCGACGACCAGAATCTTGAGAATGTTCGAGCCATGCTTGCATCTCACTCACAGGATGGCTTGATACCAGCGCTTTGGCTACGACTACTGTTGAACCTGTCCTCTATCACTGAAGATGCGCGCACCGAGGTCCGTAACTCTGCAACTCAGACGATACAGAGGATATTCGAAAGCTACGCCGAACAGCTTTCGTCGGAAGTCTGGATGCTGTGCCTTCGCATAGTTCTATTCGATATGATTGAAGCCAACATAGCTGTTCACCGGCGTTTAGAAGCGCGCACACAGGGAACCAAAGACCTCGCAGGGTGGAACGACACAACCAAAACCGTTCTTCATACTGTCAGCGTTCTATACACAGCTTACATGGATAAGCTGGATCCAAGCCAGTTCGGCAGAGCATGGTCGGAGCTACTTGACTACCTTCAACAGTACTTTGAATGTAACTCGCACGCACTTGGGCTATCAGTTTTTGAGACGGTAGCTGAAGTCTTGTCGCATGTTGATAATGTAGGTGTGCTAGGCATGCCACCGGTTTTGAAGACTGCCGATATTTGGAAGAGCTATTACGATCATCACGAAGCATGGATATCCAAACAAGCGAACAACCAAGATGCTTTCGTAGGATACGCGGACGCATTCAAGCACATATACCGGCTTGCGGGACGATCACTTGACGTACAGCTGCCAGCAATGCTGGCCAATCTCGAGGCGTGTATCGTGGGCTCAGATGAGGTTGCATACTCTTCTGATATAGACAACATGACCCCTCTCCAAGCTCGAGTCGTCCAATGCCTATCGATGGTCGAGACAGAAAATTCTAGCTTACCCTCATGTTTGATCGGCCTGCTAAGTCGGTTGATAACACTCCCATACACAGCATACACAAAAGACCCGCAAAAGCGTGGTCCAACCTTCGTAGCGGTCGCAAAGGCTGCAATGACGCTTCTTCAAAACACTACCGTGAAGCACATAGATCAGAAGGAGATGTTTACGGATGGCTCTTTCCTGTTTGCACTTCAAAGCCTGGCAAAACCAGTACACGAAAAGTACACTTGGCAGCGCGAGGGAAAGGCTCCTATGCTGTGGCAGAAAGCGACTAATACGGCAATCGCCATCCTAAAACCAGCTCTACAGATGCTCGAAAGCTATGGCGAGACGAACCCGTCGTTCAAAGAGACATGGACGACTATCGTGACCCTCTCACATGACATCACACGAGCTCAGTTTGCATTACCTGACAACATACCATCAACGTTGGAGAAGGACGAGGCATTCGACATCGAATCGTACATCCAGCTGCGAGATCTGATCACCTTATCTCTCGGTTCTCCATCTCTTCCAGACGCCCTTCGGCGCACATACACACGCAACCTCTTCTCCATCTCATTGATTCACACCCCACTCCCAGGCGAGCTACCCGATCTCATCCAAGCACCACTAGACGACCTCTACAAAGTCCGCCATGGCCAAACAGCTGATTTAAAAACCACTTGGCGCATGAACATGAGCTACACCTGCCTCACCGAGCTCTTCAACCTCGTATCCGTCCATGATGGCTCGGCTCCCCGCATCAAGCTCGCACAAGCAGCTTCGCCATATCTCATCCTCCGCGCAGCGCTACCACTGAGGACTTATATTGCGGATCAACCTATACGCGGTCGTATGCCAATGCCTGAGGCCGAGAGACGTGAATTGCTATTTGTGCTCAGAGAATTGGCGAAGTTGGAAAGTGAAACCCAGGCTATTCCTGATGCGCCGGGGGTTAGGTCAAAGCACAAGAAGCATTTGCACAGGCTGTATCCGTTGCTAAACAAGGCATCGAGAGTAGCTAGGCAGGATTCGGAGGTATTTGAGTGTGTAATGAAGTTGATGGACTTGGTTGGGGATGAGTTTGGGCTGGATGATGAGTGAGGTCAAGATTGAGTCTACAGCATATAGATTTCGGAATGGATGGTCCTTGTTGGAATATTGAAGGTTCCATCCAGGCAAGAAACTGATGTCTTGAAAACACGTACTTTTCAATATCTTATCACGGCAGCAACATGTTTGTCATTGATTATGATCGAAGCATGCAGACTAGAAAATTGGAGACATCTACCAAATGTACCCAGCGAATTTGCGGTGGGAAGCAACCAGAATGAGCAACATACACATATGCTAGACACTCATCCAACCCTCCATCAATTGCGATGGAAAGCGATCAATGTGCATTGATGCGCAGCCCACTCAACAACCGGAAGCTATACACATAGCATCTTCAGACCTCGAACGCGACCACAAGACCCTTGGGTACTCACCTTCAAGTCATCAATTGCGCCACGAAGATCACGTTCAACCTCACAGTCGCCCAGAAAAATAACACCCTAGACCCATACCAGCCAACCCTCCCGCATCCCCGGCGCCCACCCTTCCCTCACCGGACACCAGTCCCACTCCCCGACAAAAACCCACTCCACTCCCGTCCCATCTACACCGCACAAACCGCAAACAGCATAGAATCAACAAACAAACAATGTTCTTCACCGCATGCCCTCGGCTCGACGCGCGCATGCATGCATAAAGTGGCGGTCAGCAGAGCTGTCAAAACCGACCACGTTTTTTTTGCTTGTTAGTTGCGCAAGTGTATGCAGACTAGGGGAATGGGGCCTTGGAATGGGTGTGGTTTATCGATTAGTAGAACTAGGCGATTCAGTATCTGGGAATTCTGTTGAATGAGTTCCCAGGTTTACATGCGCGCAGAGAAATAAAAAAAGAAAGAGCTCAGTCGAGTCTTTTTTTGATTTTGCTTTTTGCGTGACTCGCGAAGATCTAGTAAAACAATGAATGGGACAACAAATTGCCGAAAGGTAAAAAAGCTGTCACGGCGCAGGGCATTGGTCAGAATCTTCGGTGCTTATTGTTGATTGCGCATCAGAAGTGTATTTTTTGTTTATTGTTTATTTGTTCGATTTTGGGATTGGTGGGTGACGTGGTTTAGGCGATGTGGGGACTTTTGCGAACGTGTACCTACATGACATGCATGCATGCATGCGCGGATTCAAGAACATGCAGATAAAGTGCTTCATGCACTCCTGCTATAGCGGTGTAAATACGAATCCCTGAGCTGGACAGTGCAAGGCTGAGCTGTTTTAACAGCTCACGATAATTGAGGACTTTTCTCGGTCCGAAGTGCAACGTCTGGCGGCTCGCCTGGACTCGAGAATTCGGGGTCGCATGTATGTACGGCGCTGTAACCACATTTAGATGTCATCGTGCGAGGCCGATTCGATGCTGCGAGGCTGCATGTCCGACTTAGCCTCTTACGTGCAGCATAAGCAGTCGGGAATGGAGTATTGTCCACCTCGGGACGAGCCTGGAAACCGTTGGTCCTCACGGCTGCTGACGTGGGATCAGACGACTGGAAGACATGTGTTTTTGTGGTGTTTCAGTCTCTTTGTACGTCAAAAGGATGTATTACAATAGTAGGAAGATGTACCTGGAGGTGCGCATACTGAGCCGGAAGCGGTGGTCGTCTGTAAGGAGCTCGATAAACTACGAAGTGGATGGTATCACAAGCTTGAAGTCAGCTATGAGCCAAGAGCGCGTACTGAAATTAGACGGCAAGAAAGAGCAGGGTGAGGTCAGAAACGTTGTGGTACAGCATTGCGCCATGCTGCGTGGCATGCTCGAGCTGCTGTATTGGAGGAACGCTTATAAACGAGTGCCGTCATTACCGTCTGATGAGGTTTTTTTTTCGACCAAGTTGGACGTTGAGCTTTCCTTTTTTTGTTCAGGAAGCACGTGGCATAGAGCAGAGAGGGAGTAAAGACGCGTCCTGATGTAGTACTTTCTACCCTGACCTTGTTTCGCGATAATACATCAAAACTGAGCCCTTCGTGGTACCCAAGGCTTGACGGAGCTGCAGGGAGTCTATTGGCCGGAGATCGAGGCTGAGGGTTGTGCAAGCACAGTCTGATCTGAGGGAGCACGAGGGACACCGCAATCTAAAATGACGTACAGCACACATTTAGGTCGTCGTACAGCAGATGCGTTCTGTGTCGCGTGAAGATTCGCGAGCGCATGGACTTTCACGAGTTCGGTAGATGTTGGCTTGGTCTGTCACATTGACTTGACGGAAGCCGGGTCGTTGAAAACAAGATAGGTATCGACTAAGAGTAGATTGTATTCAGCCCAATGAAGTACAGAGCCCTGATTAGCGGTGCCTGGTAGCGATGCTCTTCTCCTCAGTTGGTTGTGTTCGTTTCATCTTTGGGATTCTGCTCCACTGTCACCCCATTTGGATGAGAGCAAAGGCATTGGGATACGTGCTCGGAGATGGCGTGTCCCTTCTGGCAAAACCGGCATTTTCTGTGACTCTGTGTGGATGAAGCATAGTGTTGGCATAACGGCAAATCACGCGGTAGTTCCTCCAACCATTCTTGGCACAATCTGTACGCTTTTTTTTAGTAGTTCAAGTATCGTTCGAGGAGCTGTCATGTCGTGTGTGAGCCTGAACAAATTCCACAGCTTCTTAGCGCGTTCCGAGGTTTTAAGAAGACCTTGAAGCTGTGCAGCCCGCAAGACGCTGTTGGCATTCAGCGATTGTGGAGAGGTGGGCCAGCAATCTAAATTGATGACATTTGACGGAGCTTGGTGCGGGAGAAACATTCTGGAAGATGAGAGGACCTTGGCCAAAAGACGTTAATCCCCCATGCCAGCCACTCGCCCAGCGAAGCGAGATCACTTTACGAATATAGATGCGCATTGATTCACAGCCTGCACAATCAGATGGCAGGGTCTATGAAGGTAGATCTGCATGGTGGTTCTCATGCGCGGTGGGCAGATGCGGGCAGGGAGACGGGCTCCGAGGTGTTGTGAGCCTTGAGAGGGGCCGAAAGTGTGTGGTTGATGTGGTAGCACGTGTTGGAGGAGCGAGTCTGCGGTCCGCCGCCGGCCACGAGGGGTGCAGGGCAGAGTTAGACTTGATTTCGGTGTCGCTCCGTCGATCGCAGCGCGTTACACAACGCGTCGGGCTCTCCACGCCCCGCCTTGCCCTGCGTCGCAAGAACCAGTTTTGGTGCTCTGATCTCATTTCACATCGATGATGACATGCACAACAGGTGGTCGGGTTCTTGCGTTCGGGCTCCTTCCTGCATGCTCTCCGCGGTGGGACGGAATAAAGGAAGGTCGCGCTGGATCCACGGCGCTGGTCATGATGAGCGCATCGGTCACTGTGGTCGCCCAGCGCTGACTCCCCCGAGCGTTAAGATTCGGACGGTGTCTCTCACCATTGCTGCTGCCGGGTGCCGCGTGCGCTAGAGGCATCGAAACCGTGCCGATGGGTGTGACACTGGCGCTCAGCCAATGGGCGGCGGCGTGCTAGACATGGATGCGGGCTATTCAGGAACCTGCTACAACCAGGTACGGCGCCGAAAAAAAGGGGCAGCCAGGCCTCTGCGAGATGAGAGTTGGATGCCCAGCGGGCGCGCGATCAGTGCGGATTTTCGAGTGCGCGCCACCTGGAAGCGCTGTTGGAAGGTGGCCTCTAGAGAAAACAAGCCGCCGCACCTGCCTTGCTGGGTGAAAGCAAGAGTCGCGCGCGAGGGGCCAGAATGTGTGGCAGAGTGGCAGAGTGGCAGTGTGCGGTGGCAGTGTGTCTGGCCGCAAATTAGTCGTGGGCGCACACACATAAGATGTGTGCATGCTAATGCATATGCTCGCTAGACCAAAGCGGCCGGGTCGGCGACATAGCGCAGCTCGTGGATGGTTTATGGGCGAAAATGAAGAGACTCGCAGCGTGCGTAAGCCAATGGTGGAGGCCCAAAATGCGTCTTGACAGCAAAAAGGAGGCGGCCCGCTCCAATCAGTCACGCAAGGGTGGA